TTTTATTTTTATTTTTTCTTATTTTTTTAATCTTCCCCTTTGCCATAGCAAGTTTATTCATCGAAAAGCCTAGGAATAGACCTAAAGTGGGTAACTGGGGTGGTTGCCCCAAAAGTTTTGATATCCTCACTACAAGAAATTAGGGATTTAACGGCGTTTAATTAACGGCGTTTTATTAAACATCACTTTTTTTAATTTTTAACGGCGTTTTATAACCGTCGCATATTTTTTTAATCAAAACGGCACAATTTTCTATTTAAAGGCGTTTAAAAACACCTCCAAATACGGTAGATACACGCACCCTTTTTTTGAAACCCTTATTTTTTAATCTGAGCCCTCTCTCTCTCTCTCTCTCTCTCTCTCTCTCTCTCTCTCTCTCTCTTATACGCACACATCTCTCTTATCTTATACGCAAACATCTCTCTCTGTCTCTCTCAGTGACGAAGAAGACGGAGGAGATTACTCTACGAAGAAGCTTCGTCTCTCGAAAGATCAATCGGCTGTTCTTGAAGAGAGCTTCAAAGAACACAAGCTCTATCGACTGTTCAGAGTGATTTCGAAGCAATTTCAAAGATTCAAATCGATATCAATCGGCTGTTCAGTGCAATTTCGAAGACTCAGATCGATTTCGAGATTCAGAACGATTTCGAAGTTCCATCGCCACCGTCATCTGCATCGGTGAGGTAGCGAGCTCCACCGTCTCTCTCTCTCTCTCTCTAGAACTCATACTGATTGTACCTTTATAAGGGTTTCTGGCTCTGAGTTGGTTCAGAAGTATATTTGTGAGGGCTCTTGAATGGTTAGAGAACTTTTTGTTATGGCCATGTTTGTCCGACTTCATTGATAACATTGTTATTGCCAAAAAATTAAAATATCTTGTATATCAGCTTAATAAATCTTTTTAGTCTACAAAAGTGTTATATAGTTCCTCTTGCATGTTTTATGCATGATTTATTTTTGTTTATGTTGCACTGGGAGCATGCTCCATCAATTATCTTTATGGATGAAATCGACAACATTGGATCTACTTGAATGGAATCTGGATCTGGTAATGGTGATAGTGAAGTGCAGCGGATGATGCTGGAGTTTCTCAATCACCTGGATGGATTTGAGCATCTAACAAAATCAAATTATTGATTTCTTGTTTCATTCTCTTAAACTAGCAACATATATGTGCACCTATGTTCCTTTCTGATTATATTTCTAAGGAGATGTAGTGATGTTGAATGAACTTATGTAGGGGTTGTTTTGTTGAATGAAGCCCTCATCTAATTAAGTGAGTAGGTTTCATCTTCAATTGCCTAGGTGGGATGTACTTTAAGACTACCATTAAAAGCTCTGAAAAAGAGCCTATTGAAGAAAGTTTAAAAGAGAAACACAAACTAGGTTCCATATTTCTTTAATTGGCCAGGTGAGTTGCCTTATGTTACGTGGGAACAATGAGAACATTCAAATGAAGTTCTAATCAAGAGAATTTTTTAGACTGTGCTTGGTTCTTGGATTTATAGGCCCTGTTTGGTAGGGCTTATTTCCAGCTTATTTCAGCTTTTAGCTTAATTTAAGCTATTTTGATGTGTTTGGTTCAACTTAACAATATAGCTTATAACTTTTTGTAAGTCAAAAATCAACTTATTCTTTGAGTGGGTGAGGAGAAGCTTAATTTATAAGTAAAAAATCAGCTTATGTTCACAGTTATAAGTTATAAGCTGTTAAACTATAAGCTATAATCACTTTCCCATAACTCTACCAAATGGGGCCATAGAGAGATTTGTGGAGGGAAATAGAAAATGGGATGGAAAAGTGAATGAAATAGATGTTAATTTTTATAAAAAAATCAATCTTAAAAGCTTTTGCCAAACAGGTCAGATTCAAGTTTCCCTAGAAATTCACCAATTGTCACATTGAAAAAGTTGTCTTGCCATAATAATGTCAATATTCATTGTTATTGGATGTCCTATGGACAAGCTTTAGCAAACAGAGGACTGTGAAGTTTAAATGTTTGGGGAAATCAAATTGCTTGGGTTAATATTTATGATTTGTTTTGTACACTTCTTGTTTTGGAATATTAATCATCAAAAGAACAAATCACCAGAAAACAAATTGTAAAACTTTTCTGACTTGGTGGATTTTGGTAAGATGAACCACAAAGGATAATTAATGGGACAGTGAGTTATAAATCAATTTTTATGATGCTTATCAGTTATCATTGTCAATTTGTCGTTGCTTTCTTTTGCAGGTCGTTTGATGCTAAAGAGTACAGCTAGCCAGAATTTTGGAGCCTACATGCAAGGACTTGGTATATAAAGGATAGTATTCTCTCTAATTCAATTGAATCTCTAGTTTAAATTTTGTGAGAGGGTTACAAACTATTGATGTGTTATAACCTTATATATTGAAATGGATAATCTTCATTCAACTATGTAATGGAGAGAATCTAAATGTGAAAGATCTGTTTCATCATGTATATTTAACTTTGGATGTAGAATTATACCTTTGGCCGAATTAGAGGAGAAATGTAGGCCCACATGTCCCCTTGAAATTGTTTTGACATTGTTTAATTGGTTTTTGAGGAGTATGAACAATTTCATGGGAGTTAAAAAAATGATTCTCTCACTTTTTCTAATGTTATATTTTTCTAATTAACATAGTATGAGTAGTCTCATGCTATTACTAATCTTGTTCATTTATGAAATTATGATTTTATTTAAATTTACAAAAAAATTATAGTAGTTATTAAAAATAGCATAAGAGCATCTTTAACATATTCTTTAAAAAGGCTTAAATTAGGAATTTTGGCTACCATTGATTCAGTTGTAGTCCTCCAACATTCTTTGAAAGTATGCTATTTTGATTCATCCACTGCAAACTTTCTACATTCGAAGAGCATAACAGTATCTCTAGTAATGTTTTTTAAATTTTTTCTATAATAGGGAAAATACTTAATTTTTTTTTTTATAAAAAAATAGGGACTTATTTTTTTTAATTTTGTCTTACATGTAGGTAGGGAGTCTGTAGCGCTCTACAAACTTTGAAAAAGTATTGGTTATATGATTTTCACGCTCGATGGTCGCTTGAGCGTGAGGCTGATGTCCCCGCTCGAGCGTAACTCTTGACGCTCGAGTGGTTTGCAAAAACATGAAACTTCTGAGAGCTTGCATTTCACATTCGAGCGGACTTAAAGTCGCTCGAGCGGAGATGCAAAAACAAAGGTGGCCACTCGAGCGCAGGATCAGATGCTCGAGCGAAGAGGTTGAATTCTAGAATTTCCAGATTCACCTCCCAAGCTCCAAACTTGAATCTAACTCATCAAAACACAACTCTTGGCCCCCAAAACTGGAGAAAACAAGTTCAAACTTTGAAAACATTAAAAATTAAAGATCATTTCACAAAATCAAGGCCCAAGAGTAAGTCAATTGGCAAAATCAAACTTGAAACTTTGAAAAACAACACATGGACTTACATGCAAGCACTTTCTTGACTTCAAAGCTTCCAAAACATGATCAACTAAGACAAATTGATGGAAATCATGATGAAATTGCAAGACTATGGTAGACTTAGCACATGCATGTGAGAATCTTTAACAATTAGACTCAAAATAGAAGAAATTATGTATGCATGCATGGTATGAGTTACAATTCTCAAATTTTAGCTTAATCCTCATGCTTAATCTCCTAATTCTCTTGAATTCTTACACTAGTAATTCAAATTCATAATTAAGGAGTTGAATTTCCTATCTTAAGCCTTGAGCTAGCAAGTGTTAGAGCTAAACTTCGTCAATTGCCTCCAATCTCCCTTATTTCCTTCTTAATTCTCTTCTTTCTTTAATGTTTGGCTTCAATCTCTCCCTTTCTTTTTTCCACATGTTTGAGCTCAAATGAATGAGGAAAAAGGAAGTCTTGGGCTTGGTAGTGGCCTTATATAGGCTAATTAGTAAACCTTTAGAGAGAGAAAAAAGGTTGTGAAGGGCTATTGAAGGCTGAAAGAAGGCTAGACTGAGGCTGTTAGAGAGAGAAAAAGAGCTGGAAAGGACTGTCTGAGGTTGGGTGAAGGCTGTGAAGGGCTATCAAAGGCTAAAGAGAGTAAAAAAGGCAGTCAATGGTGATGGGTGGTTAAGAGAGAGACGGCTAGGGAGGCTCTAATACCAAAAAGAATGGAAAGAATTAATTGGCTTACCAATCAATGAGGTAGAGATTGTATATATAATATATTCATGATACAATTTAGGAAACAATATACACAAGGATATTCAACAAAATAATTCCTATTATAATTTCTATATTCAAACATCATATTTTGATTCCTAATTCTACATGGACTTCTTTAAGTAGTTTTGGATTTGTCTACGTGTTACATGTAACTTTCCTACACATATCTCAAATTTGAATAGGATGATATATACTTAATCATTGTTAACTTACACAATCCAATTAACATTTGACCCGGTGTTTATATGTGGATATGCTTTTACCTAGTTTCCTATTTTTGAATGTTTATATGTTGGGTTATTTCGGAATTCTAGAGTTTATGATAATTATGTGAGTTTCAAACATACGATTAAGAGAGAGAAAACTAACTTATGGTAATATCTACTTATGGTAAAATTCATTCGTCATTCTTCACATGTGAATGTAGAATTATTATAGGATCATGTAAATCTTTGTGTAATTGTGTGTTTATTTTATTATTATTTTTATTTTTTTTATTTTTTTTAATCTTCCCCTTTGCCATAGCAAGTTTATTCATCGAAAAAGCTAGGAATAGACCTAAAGTGGGTAACTGGGGTGGTTGCCCCAAAAGTTTTGATATCCTCACTACAAGAAATTAGGGATTTAACGGCGTTTTATTAAACATCACTTTTTTTAATTTTTAACGGCGTTTTATAACCGTCACATATTTTTTTAATCAAAACGGCACAATTTTCTATTTAAAGGCGTTTAAAAACGCCTCCAAATGCGGTAGATACACGCACCCTTTTTTTGAAACCCTTATTTTTTAGTCTGAGCCCTCTCTCTCTCTCTCTCTCTCTCTCTTATACGCACACATCTCTCTTATCTTATACGCAGACATCTCTCTCTGTCTCTCTCAATGACGAAGAAGGCGGAGGAGATAACTCTACGAAGAAGCTTCGTCTCTCGAAAGATCAATCGGCTGTTCTTGAAGAGAGCTTCAAAGAACACAAGCTCTATCGGCTGTTCAGAGTGATTTCGAAGCAATTTCAAAGATTCAAATTGATATCAATCGGCTGTTCAGTGCAATTTCGAAGATTCAGATCGATTTCGAGATTCAGAACGATTTCGAAGTTCCGTCGCCACCGTCATCTGCACCGGCGAGGTAACGAGCTCCACCGTCTCTCTCTCTCTCTCTAGAACTCATACTGATTATACCTTTATAAGGGTTTCTGGCTCTAAGTTGGTTCAGAAGTATATTGGTGAGGGCTCTCGAATGGTTAGAGAACTTTTTGTTATGGCCATGTTGGTCTGACTTCATTGATAACATTGTTATTGCCAAAAAATTATAATATCTTGTATATCAGCTTAATAAATCTTTTTAGTCTACAGAAGTGTTATATAGTTCCTCTTGCATGTTTTATGCATGATTTATTTTTGTTTATGTTGCACTGGGAGCATGCTCCATCAATTATCTTTATGGATGAAATCGACAGCATTGGATCTGCTTGAATGGAATCTGGATCTGGTAATGGTGATAGTGATAGTGAAGTGCAGCGGACGATGCTGGAGTTTCTCAATCAACTGGATGGATTTGAGCATCTAACAAAATCAAATTATTGATTTCTTGTTTCATTCTCTTAAACTAGCAACATGTATGTGCACCTATGTTCCTTTGTGATTATATTTCTAAGGAGATGTAGTGATGTTGAATGAACTTATGTGGGGGTTGTTTTGTTAAATGAAGCCCTCATCTAATTAAGTGAGTAGGTTTCATCTTCAATTGCCTAGGTGGGATGTACTTTAAGACTACCATTAAAGGCTCTGAAAAAGAGCCTATTGAAGAAAGTTTAAAAGAGAAACACAAACTAGGTTCCATATTTCTTTAATTGGCTAGGTGAGCTGCCTTATGTTACGTGGGAACAATGAGAACATTCAAATGAAGTTCTAATCGAGAGAATTTTTTAGACTGTGCTTGGTTCTTGGATTTATAGGCCCTGTTTGGTAGGGCTTATTTCCAGCTTATTTCAGCTTTTAGCTTAATTTAAGCTATTTTGATGTGTTTGGTTCAACTTAACAATATAGCTTATAGCTTTTTGTAAGTCAAAAATCAACTTATTCTTTGAGTGAGGGAGGAGAAGCTTAATTTATAAGTAAAAAATCAGCTTATGTTCACAGTTATAAGCTATAAGCTATAAGCTGTTAAACTATAAGCTATAATCACTTTCCCATAGCTCTACCAAATGGGGCCATAGAGAGATTTGTGGAGAGAAATAGAAAATGGGATGGAAAAGTGAATGAAATAGATGTTAATTTTTATAAAAAAATCAATCTTAAAGCTTTTGCCAAACAGGTCAGATTCAAGTTTCCCTAGAAATTCACCAATTGTCACATTGAAAAAGTTGTCTTGCCATAATAATGTCAATATTCATTGTTATTGGATGTCCTATGGACAAGCTTTAGCAAACAGAGGACAGTGAAGTTTAAATGTTTGGGGAAATCAAATTGCTTGGGTTAATATTTATGATTTGTTTTGTACACTTCTTGTTTTGAAATATTAATCATCAAAAGAACAAATCACCAGAAAACAAATTGTAAAACTTTTCTGACTTGGGGGATTTTGGTAAGATGAACCACAAAGGATAATTAATGGGACAGTGAGTTATAAATCAATTTTTATGATGCTTATCAGTTATCATTGTTAATTTGTCGTTGCTTTCTTTTGCAGGTCGTTTGATGCTAAAGAGTAGATGGAAGATGATCAAAACATAGGAGAGAAAAGCTGCCTACAGCTAGCCTGAATTTTGGAGCCTACATGCAAGGACTTGGTATATAAAGGATAGTATTCTCTCTAATTCAATTGAATATCTAGTTTAAATTTTGTGAGAGGGTTACAAACTATTGATGTGTTATAACCTTATATATTGAAATGGATAATCTTCATTCAACTATGTAATGGAGAGAATCTAAATGTGAAAGATCTGTTTCATCATGTATATTTAACTTTGGATGTAGAATTATACCTTTGGCCGAATTAGAGGAGAAATGTAGGCCGACATGTCCCCTTGAAATTGTTTTGACATTGTTTAATTGGTTTTTGAGGAGTATGAACAATTTCATGGGAGTTAAAAAATGATTCTCTCACTTTTTCTAATGTCATATTTTTCTAATTAACATAGTATGTGTAGTCTCATGCTATTACTAATCTTGTTCATTTATGAAATTATGATTTTATTTAAATTTACAAAAAAATTATAGTAGTTATTAAAAATAGCATAAGAGCATCTTTAACCATATTCTTTAAAAAGCTTAAATTAGGAATTTTGGCTACCATTGATTCAGTTGTAGTCCTCCAACATTCTTTGAAAGTATGTTATTTTGATTCATCCACTGCAAACTTTCTACATTCGAAGAGCATAACAGTATCTCCAGTAATGTTTTTTAAATTTTTTCTATAATAGGGAAAATACTTAATTTTTTTTTTTATAAAAAAATAGGGACTTATTTTTTTTTAATTTTGTCTTGCATGTAGGTAGGGAGTCTGTTAGAGTGAATTTTGAAGATTTATCTTATTTTTTTAATTGCCTCTGCCTGGTTGTTTCTTGCCTGTATTTTTTAATAATGATAGGTAGCATATCCAATGTATGTGTAAAATATGTTGTCTATCATCGTTTCTGTTAACTGTTTTTGTCTTGATGATGGCCAAGATATTTTTAACTTCTATACTTGGCTAAAGTGTGATTGGGAGTAGATGTGGAGGCATACTATGATAGTGACATTAGTTTATTGAATGTGAGCATGCCCAATCACTGAATCTGCCATTATTTGAACCATTTATCAATTTGTGCCAGTTAAGCTCCAAGGCTCAATGTCAGAATCTAAGTTCATTTTATTTTTTGTAGTTCCTTGCTATGAAAATGTTGAGAGGAGACATGGTGCCTCACCCTTAGTCATTGTCATAGGTGGTGGCTTTGCCAGTATGGCAGCTGCTCGGGCCCTTCATGATGCTTCATTTCAGGTATTTGTTATAGTTATTTGTGTCTCTGTGTGATGCAATAAACTGGAATTTATTTACAATAGGGTACTGTTCTAGATTCAATGTTGTGGTGCTTCAATACAGTTGATAGTGAATTGTTCTAGATTCAATTCTCTTATTTTTGTTAAAGGTCACACATTGGCATTCCATTAATATATGATCAATGTTCAAACTACTAGTATTGTAAAATAATTTAAGTATATTATTAGGACTTTCATGTATATTCATTGCATTGGCATTACTGGATGTTGCCCAACATGTTGTGAATATAAGAACTATCCATTTTAAGCTACTCGTTGCTGGAAACCTGCGGTTTTTTATTAGTTCTCTAACAATTGAGCATTAATTTGTGGGTTTGATTTGAATTTGTTTGTGGAATTTACATATGACTAAGATTAACCTATTTATTTGTTGCTGGAATTGGGGTTTTGCTGATTTCCTTTTTTAAATCGTTGTGTTTGATCTAGTTGCTTAGGATTTGACATTTTGATAATTGGAGGTGAACTCTTTCCAAGTCAAATAAATTTATAGTATAATAGTTGCTTAGTATATCATTATTCTGCTTCTTTTTATTTATTTATTGAAGTTCAATAGTGCTACCCTGATTTCATTATGAACTTTTGCTGTTTTTTTTTTTTTTTTTTATTTTTCTCTTATTGCCGTTTGTTATTTTTCTTTTCAAGGTTGTGTCCAACCCATTTTTACTTTATGACATTAGATTCAAATAGGGATTATATATATATATTTTGTATAGCATTTTATTTTAATAAATCTAAGTGTACAGAGGATCATACATAAAATAGAAGGAATATAAACAGAAGGGAGAGGAAAATGACTTTTTTTTAAAATGAAGGAAAATGAACAGAAGGAAGAGGAAAATGAAGGAAAATAACTTCTTTTAAAATGGTTAGGGTGCACTTAGTAGTCATCCCACTGTTCGGCCAATGTCACATCAACAACAATCTCATGCATTTTCATCCCAAGAGATGAGCAATCATTTAATCATGTATAAATATTATATATAAATATATAGATCAGATTTACTAACCACAAAATATATTGCTAATGCTACCTAATTTGATTCCACTGAAGTGATACTGTTAATCTCGGAGAGCCTTATTTATTCCTCTTGTGCAATATTTGACTCAACTTGTGTTTTATGGCACATTCACTAATGTGGATGGGGAATTACAGAGAAAATTGTGGCAAAAAAATGGATCAGTTACTAAAAAGGTGCTTTTGAAACTTACAATTCTTTCAAAAAAAAAAAATTCCTTACTTTTTTTTGTTGTCGAAAGCTACTTTGACAACTATGGAATCATTCGAGATATAATGCAAAATCATCTCCTGCAAATACTAGCACTTTTTGCAATGGAGACACCTGTCAACTTGGATGCAGAGGACATTAGGAATGAAAAGGTAGACATTCTCTATATATATATGAGATTGCAATATGTGTGTTGGTTATTATTAATTTTTTTTCCCAGCTATGGCAGGTTTCAATTGGTTTTAATAGTTGTCCAAAAACTCATCTGCAAATATGGTAAATAATGACAAATCAATTTCTCCACCCATGCCTCCCCAACCGCTATCTTAGATGCACTTGGATACAAGTATTAGGTTTAAGTGCATGTCCAAGTGTTAGATCTTCATAAATCAAAACCTTATGATCTTGGGATATGTGTCCAAAAGTTGGATATGGATATGGATATGGTGACGCATCATGAACAAATATCTTGCATATTGTATAATACATTTAGACAATTTGTTGTAAAATTATGTATAAATATACTTGAAATTGAACAAGATATGTAGAAAATATGAAATTTCAGCTCTCATTCATATGAACTTTGAACTTTTTCAGCTACGATGAGCATATTGATTTTTGTTTCTCCTCTCTAAGGCTTTAAAGGTGTATAAAGATATTTGGGTACATATGAAGAAATCAATATCATAATTTCTTTTGATATTCAGTCAAGCTCTTGCACTCATGTGTTATTAGTTATGATAATGTCACCATTGCAATTTATGACTTTTTCTGTACTTATTGTATGGCAGTTATGTATTACTACAAGCACTTCTGCTGGCTTAGAGCAGACTCTACCATGGATTTTCTATCATAAGGTTATTGGTGTTTCAACCTTTTTCCTGTTTGTTGAAGGAAAAACTGCAACCCCTGACTTATCAAAAGTCCTAGAATCCATTTCAGTGAGTCTAAATCTTTGCTTCTTTACATCTATGTACTGGCTATCCTCAAGTGTTTTGATTTTCTACTTTAGATCTTCCAAATTTCTAAAATCTCTTAATTTCTTTGACAGGGAGTAAAAGTCATTTACAGAGCAAAGGAATTAGAGGAGCAACAACCTAGAAGGTCGGTTCCCTTTGCCACTTGGATTGTTACATATGTTATGCTAAATTTTCAAGCTAAGTTTTTCATATAATTTCTGTTAGATTGCTTGATATACATCGCTGGGTTCATTTCTTAACATATATCTGAGGACAATTGGAGATTGAATAATTTTACTTGTTTATTTTTTGCCAAGCAATAGAAGAATCTCTAATCCCTTGACCCCATGTTTTTAACCATCACCCATTATCAACTGAGGTCTTTTCTTTTTAGTCTATCCCCATGCCACGAAACTAATAGATCACTGGCAATGTTGCAGCTAGGTTGAAGGCACGTATTTTAAGGTTTCATAATTACTCGAAGTTCTCATTTTGGTACTGTATGTAGCCTCGATTGGTTAGTCTTCAATTTCATTGTTCTTTATTATTTGTGTTGTTCAGCCGGATCTGGAATGAGACTTGGTTGGCAAGCCTTTTCTACAAACCTTGCAACTATGAGTTATTTGTGAAGCAATCCCTTAACATGGAACATTTTTCTCTACTCAGCCCATAGAACATTTTTCTCTCTGACTTCTCTCTTTTCTCTACTCAGCGTATAAGTAATTGATGACAATGAAAATGAAAACCCACTAAGAGAAGAGAGAACAAAGCATAATTCAATGCACAAACTTGAGAGTCCATAGATCAACAACACACATGTCAATGGCAGAGCAGCTCAACGTTTATCACATGGCTTGCATGCGAGTGTCAATCGATTCTTGTTCTCGCTGATGGAACAAGATCACACACAGACAAATCAAGGAGTAAAAAAAAAGTCAGCCATGGAAGCTAAAGAAATTTAGGAGACTTTTCCATTCTCTGAGTTTCGGGTAGCATTTCTCATCATTGAGTTTAATCCTTAAGATGATTTACTTTTTTTGATTCTCTATCGTAAGTTCTGAATCTGTGATTTGCAGTGGAATTTATCGAATTTGGTCATTATGCTGAGGAATAGATATAGAGCAGTGACGACCAAGCAAGCTATAATGGCGGACCAGAGCTCTCTAGCTTCTCTCCCCCAAATCACACCATACCCATTTCTTCTTTCTTTGGTTCTCCAAGGTTTTTCAATGGGTTTCAAGCAATGGGTCACTCTGAAACTGAAACAATGAGTCCTATTCCTAGTTCAATTCCTGACATCAAACCATTCTCCCCTGTTGGCAACCAATTCCCCAACAGTTTCTAGGAAACAAACACTCCTGGGAAAATTAAACCCGAAAGGCATTGGTCTTTCATAGTACTTGTATGTATAATTAGTTTGAATTACATCTTTTGTGCCGATGTGTTTTGTAATAACTTTCAACTTACCACTAGGTATTAGTTTAACTCTATTTCATCTTGGAATTGAAATATTTTTGCATATTGAGAAGCATGAATTGATCCAGTATTACGTTTACCTAAATTTAGTCAATATATTGAATATTTTTCATCTTTATTACAGGTATTTTTTTTAGTTAAATCTCACAGAATTAGCATAATTTCAACAAAAAAAAAAATGAAGCTATAACGGTGTTTTTAAACGCCACTATAGAATATTGCTATCGGTTATATTTTTAAAATAGAAAAGATCTATCATGACTTTTTTAAAACCTCGCTAAATGAGGCGTGGCGTCACTGAACCGTTATGCAACACATTTAGCGGCGTTTGAAAATGCCGCCTATACTAATATAGCGACGCTTCTAAAGCGTTGTAAAGCTACAGCGACGGCCGCATATTCGACGTTTGGTACTAAATGTCACAAAAACAATTAGCGGCGTTTTTGATAGCTACAGCGGCTTTTTTTAAACACCACTAAAAGTCTAATTTTCAGCAGTGCCTCCTTGATCCTATGAAATTTTTTTTTTTTTTTGAAAATTTTATTTCTTGTCTCCTAAGTTTTTCTAAGAAAAATATTAATGGTATTGTAGACTTCCTTATACACAATTTTTAATTATATATACATTCACTCTCTTTAAATTAAAATCCAATGTCCATCCCCATAGCAAGACGATGATACTAGGGGTGTGGAATGAGTGCAAACATTGACATGCTCTTGCAACTCTGCATTACAAAAGAGACTTTTAACATTGTTTTCCCAAATTTAGGTTTTGGATTTATTATTGGTATTAATTAAATGGGATCTTAAGTTTGAAGCCACAACAACATACAAACCCGCTGGCAATATTAATGACCCATACATAGCAGCAGGCTGTGTGTTGCTATGAGAAACTGGAAAATGAGTCAAATGAACAATCAACTAGTAGTAAAAAACATGGTCCAAGGGCAGAAGATTTTAAAGTATATATTGACCTTTACCCTTCTTTTAATTTGGGTAAGATATATTTTTATCCCTGGGACAACCTTAATATTTTTGATGGTATGTGTCACTTTGACTCCAACACCGCCACAAAATCACCTATGAACAATCTTAAGAAGAGCCATACATGTTCTCTGTTTTGAAAATATTGAAAATTCTTTGTTTTATGATACATTTTTTGTTTTAATTTGTCATTTTGAAATCATCTGCAGGGGCTAAATATAAATCGAGCCGGTCAAAACTATTGGGCTGGTCCAACTCATCAAGCCCAAATCCGATTGGCCAAACACTAACATGGGCCAGCCACATCGAGTCTAGATCTTCATGGATCATCCCCCGTCTTCAAATACTTAGGCCAAACTTATCAAGGTAAGGCCAGCTCAGACAAGGTACCAAAAAGGGCTGAATTATATGGACCAAACCATCAACAGAACCAGCATGGGCCGAGCTCACATGAAATCATCCATATGGACCCAGTCCATCTCTACAACAACTTCATAGAAGGCCAAATAAGATTGGGCTGAGAAACCGAGCAGACCAGACAAAGGCCTCCAGTAGCCGGCGTCTAAGCTGTGAGCACGCATGTGCGAGTGCCACCTCAACTAGTCATCCCCTCTCCAAGAATCAAGGAAATTGTTAGGAGAATGAATGTGCAAAGATGTATATATGGTTTAGGTGGGTATGTGCAAGCATGGATGACCAGCTCAACGGTTCCCTACTGTGGAGACATAAATTTTGAATGACGGCACGTGGCCGAGGTGTCACCGAAGTGCCAACCGGGGTGCCACGCGTCCTGGTCATGATGCCGAGATGATCTCGGCTAGGCCGAGGTTATCTGCTAGAATACCGGAATAAGCGGATAAAGGACAAGAGTCCTAGAATGGGAGAAGAATTCAGTTTGGGTAAAGATAAGACTCTTAGAGAGTTTATCCCAATCCTATTGGGAGTCCAAGATTAGCAGTAATCCAGAGTCCATTGAAGCAAGGCTTCTATTGGGACTAGTTTAGTGTTGGCTATAAAAGGGAGGCACCCCCATGGGTCTAAGGTATGTCATTGATGCTTTGTCTAGTGAGTTGAGCACTTTTGCTATCTTTGAGAGATAACTGACTTGATCGTCGAAGTGCCCCCGGGTGGACGAACCACCGCCGGAATCTCATCTTTCTGTTACAGGTTATTCAGGCGTCATCTATTCTGCCAGTGCTCTCCAGTTGAATACTAATTTGACAGTGTGGTCAGAAATCAACACCTACACCTACCTAAGCTATAATAGAGAGCACCAAGAGGCACCAAAGCTCTCTCACCCTCACTTTAGAGTGCAAGTCAAATCATTTATATATACAACACAACCATCTCATTGGAAGGTGTCATATTCAATTTGATCTTATCTCATTTACGCACGATATACACACTCTCTCTCTACACCTAAAGAGACACTACATCATCTTCTTTGAATCCTAACTTCCACGTCGAAGGGATTTTTTGGCCAACTCCAACCTGGGCAGCTCTGACGATTTTTCCCTTTTGCAGGCCTCTCAATTCTTGAATAGTCCAGTGCAATAGTAGAGAACCGATTCATTTATCTAGTACGTAAACCAACACACAAATCATCCATCCGATTTTTTAGTCATAAATTTGAATTTGAATCTAGCAACCCATTTTTTGTAATTGGCCACCAATTTTGTGATTTTTAGCAAAATTTTATTATTTTCAATATAGTGAAGATAGCGCAAGATAGCGAAAATTAATGACAATGAAATTAACTTTACTATTTTCTAAAGTAAAATTCCACTGTAACTTCGTTTCAATCATACAAAAACAGAGTGAAATGATAATCACTTTGCACAATGAAATTTTACTTTTCCATAACAATATGAACAAAGTAAAACTTTGTCGAATTTCTTTTTAGAAGTTTATATTCATCGTGAATTTTATTTTATAAATTTTTTAATAATGATTAAAAAAAATACATTATTTTATATAAAAAAAAAAGATGTTTAGATTAAAAATTAGAAAATTTATTAGAAAATTCTCTTTCAAGTACTTGTATCCCAATTAGTTTATAAGATATTCTTGTATTCTAATAAGTCATATTATTTTAGACATTTGATCTACCAAATTCTAATTCTCATGTTGAAGATAATTTATGGATAATTTTACCTTTATAAAAAAAATTTGAACCCTTAGCAACTTGGTTTGCACTATTTTGGACTATTTCGAATGTTCCATGATGTGAATATTCACATTAAATAAATTTGATGGTGTGAATTTTCATATCATGAAATATTCACATTGTCAACGTGAATATTAATGCACGTTTCACCCTATTATTATTAGATGTATTTTGATAATTATGTCATTCATAGGACTTATTGAAATATAAGAAAATAATTTGGATTGAGTAAACCGTAAGGTGGAGAAGGATTTATGAATAAATACTCCATAAAAATTATTGAATTTTAAAATTGTAAATCAATAAAAAAAATGAATGGAAATTTCATTAACATTTTTTAAGGCTCAGTTTGGTTAGATAGATACAGAAAAGTGAAAGGAAAAGAAAAAAAATTATGTGTTTAGATTGAGAGTCTTAGAAAGTAATAGAAACTAAAGTTTTTTGTACAACTCAAATTAACTTGTTGGTTAAGCTAACAATTTCTTGCAAAATATAGAGGGAAATTTATTTTTATTTTTCTTTACAACTCCTTGTTATATAGTGATTATATTTTTTTTCATAATTTTCTTACAAAATTTTTATCTATAAATAAATGCAAGAAGATAAATTTTCATTTTTTTTTCTTTTTTTCACTTTACTTTTTACCTTTTTATTTTCTATCATGTACTTCTTTTTAAACAAAGAGGGCCATAATGAATTTCCACTTTGTCAAATACTTCCTAGAAATAGTCGCCGAAAGTGAGTCATTGGTAATGAGTGGTAGTCACGGAAAAATTGTCACCAGTTGCAGTAGATTAAATTATTTAATTTAAAATAATAAGAATTAAAATAAAATTTGAGTTAAATTTTAAAGTTCAAAGTATAATTTAGGCCCTGTTTATGAATGATTATTTAGGTTAAAATAATTAATAAAGATAAAATAGATTAAAATAGTTAATAAGTCCATAATTATTTGAGAAGTTATTTGTTAGTCCTAGGTACAGCCACGCGATGCCTCATGTGTGTTTTGATTGGTGGAGGAGGTAGGATCCATAATTTTATGTTGGGTGATTGAAGAACAAGAGAGGCATGGAGATTTGCGATTGACCATGGACACGTGCCCAGGACTAACTAATAATTTTTCTAATTATTTCACTTTAATTCTTACAACTATCAAATCAACCATGCAAAAAATAAAAAAATAAATTTAATTATTTCCAAATGCAACTTTTTTAGCTAGTTTAAAATAGCTAAAAAATTAAAAAATCAACTAAAATAACGAGCTTTCCAAACAAAACCTTAATTTAAATTATTTTTATTATTCTGGCTTATCTTATTAAGTATAACATAAAACGTAAAGTCTTCAAATTTTGGGAGAAATTATAAGAAAACTTTAGAGTTTGAGTATTGCAACAAAATGGACTTTGAGTTTTTATTTTTATCATTTTAAATTTTAAATTTTTTATTTACTTTCAATTTAAATCATTTATCTATTTTCATTAAGTAAAATTGATGAAAAAAATAGGTATTTTAGTCATTAAACTTCTCAAAAAGCACGCTTTAGATATTTTATGTATATACAGTGTATTTAATGACTAAAATACTCTTTTTCCGTCGATTTTACTTAATGAAAATAGTCTAATAAAAAAATTAAAAGATTATGATTTAAATTGATAAAATTCAAAATTTATGATTTATTTTGTAATAAAGCTCAAACATTGGAGTTTTTTTTTGGGAAAATTATTTATAAGTCTTATTAGGGAGACTTATGCTACATATGGTCCTACTGAAAAACTTATGTTCCCATATGTCCTGTGTGAAATTTGTTGACACATTTACCCTCAATATTAGTTGTCAATATCATAAATAATGGTAAAACCATATATAAGAAATTGAATGTTATCATAGATCAAGTTTGCGAAACGTAAC